GGGTATTTTCAATAATTTCTCTTAAATTCTTGACATGAATAGCCCTTTACAATTGATACTTGCAACTTGGATGGGTTACGCAAACAAGCAACCTCAAGATCTCTAGCCCTTTCAATCTACATCAGTCTATTTTTATCTTCCTTGACTTGTATAAACGCGACACGAATTTGTATAACTCAGTATAGATGCAAAACACGCTTGTGTCTTGACGTGTTTGATCTCAATTTTTGTTTGACGACTGACCTGCCAACTTAACATTGTTCACTAAAATTTAGAGCAATACCAAAGTCAAAATCGTGGAAGCTCACCTTTGCTTCAATTTATATATTTCTGGCCTCAAGTTACAACTAGGGGTGAACAAAAAAATTGCTTAACTTACTAAACAAACTCAAATCCCAATTTTGAAATCGTTGGCTTGGGCACTTGTGGCTTAGATTTTAAGTGTTCTAAAATCGAACCAACTCATTTGGAAATTGTTCTGTTTGATTTTGATAGTTGACTCATTTTTTTTTAAATTACTTATTTTACCAAAGATATATTATTTATAAGATCAATTTATACTTCAGTAATTACTTGCTAGACGACTTCTATTGACTCTTCAGGAAAATAATAATTTATTTGTGATAATATTTTTCTCATGGTAATGTTTTTCTTAGCTAAAGAATGAAATTGCAAACTTAAGCTCATGTTTGTCGTCCATTAATTCAAAATTCTTTTTTCTATATACTCATTTTCAAACATACATTCACACAATAAAATATTCAACATATAAACTAATTTTTTTTTCTTACTTTTAAGCACACATTCTTGAAAAATTTACTATTCAAAACAATATATATATATATATATATATATATATACACACACACACACTAGTCATAGTGACCGTGTGTTGCACTTTATTTTAAAATATTTTATAATTGCTATAGACACAATATTTTCACAACAATTTTACATCAATACCGAGTTGGTAGATTTTTATTAGTTCTCCAAGCCCACAAATTACATCACTTTATTATTTACTATTCACAGCTTAACAGTTGACACCTTAACATTGTTGTGAACGCGTTGTGTTCGTAGTTTTATTTTTTAACTAATATATATATATATATTAAAAAATAGCCACCAAATAGAGGCTAAATTTTATGTTCACACCTCATATTAATTTATTGATTTAAATTTGTATAGAAAAAATATATTAGTAGTGCCCCCTGTTCGTCCAGGCGAATAGCAAAATCCTTGTTTTTTACTTGTTGAAAGATGAAATTGTTTGATTTGATTTAGAATTTTTTTCAATCATTTAAAAGTAATTTAATTTGAAAATTCATAAATCGTTCAGATTGAACACGTTTATCCATACGTACAACATGGTGAAGCTTTAATCGTTGTACCATAAACACAATTTCCTACTGCACCAGATTATAGACTCCTTCCCGACAAAATAGCGTTACAGCTAACATCACGTGTTGTACGCGTGCAGTTATGAAAAAATCAGCACAAGCAAAGCAGAAACGATTGATCGTCAATCCCTGTCTTCTTCATTCTCTCTCTTGAATTTTTTCAAATTAGTCCTTTAATTTTATGAAATTTGGCAGTTTTTTCAGATCCAGGTTCATCAAACCTTTGAATTTTCAGATGAGTTCCATGATTTCATGTAAAATCAAGCTCTAGAAGCTTGTGACGTGATAACAAGAAAAGGAAGAAGCGTATATGGAAGGTTCTGCTACGGCGGAGGATGTTGGGGCCCCACCGGAGTCGTGGGAGGTCGCTAACCTGGACGCCAGCATGCGCTTTCTCATGCTTTCCTCTGCAAAAGACTCCAATTCTACTAATAATATTAGTAATCTATCTGAGCTAGATGAGGGTTCGATTTCAGGTTCGGGGTCTACTACGGGTTTTAGTTCTGGCGCGGGGGATGTCTCGGAGGATTTGGTGAACTCGGTGGATCAGTTTTTGCGGGATGCTTTACAGAATCCCCGGGAGCGGCTTTCAGGTGAACAGCTTTTCGCGTGCATTTGGAGTTTCTGCTGATTAATTTCCATTTGCCTCTGTTTTTCCAAATTATTTAGTTTTGTTGCATATTTAGGCGTTGCACCTCACGTTTAGCTTATGTCTATGTAGCATGATTCCATCAAGCATACAATTAAGTTTTCTATTTTTGCTATAGTTCCTTGTCTATAAAATATGGACATGGTTATGTGAGTAGCAGAATGCAAGATCGGTATTTCCTTTTAGTTTTTGACAATATGTTGAATCTTGAGCTTTTCTTAGTGTTTTTCACTGGGAGATTGTCTAGAATGGTTATGGGGAGATTATCGGCACATTTTGTAAAGACTTGCAATACTTGAGATAAACGCAAATAAAATGGCTGGATTATTTGTCTCTAATAGAAAGTGCAACTATCATATGATCAATTACCTAGACGTGCAGGCCGTCTAAGATTCACTCAATCTCCTCTACTTAGCCTGTGTACGGATCCACACTGGCACGACAAAGTTCAGGAGGCAATGACATCAAGAAGACATCAAAAACAGCTCATAATAAAGTTTTTGAAAGAGAGAACATGAGGATATTAATCAATTAAAAGAGCGATACAAGTATTTTGAGCCCTGTTACATGTGAAGAACTTCATTAACACGTGATACACAAGGGTGTACTCATCTATTACAAAAGATTTGATCGAAGAACTAATTGATTGTGCAAAGCCAAAGCTTGTGTGCAAATTTTCTCCTACCCGAGGGGAACTAATGCAGGAAGAAATCGTTAAAATATGAATTTTTGGAGGATATAATTTCCCTTATCGTATTATTTCTAGATCTTTACTATTGCTTGGATTCTCAGATATGTTAGATCTATATAATTGTGTTCCTTATCTAATTAGTTTTTTAGTGCGTTCGAAGGCATTTATAAGTACCTTGGTGTCAAAGTTGTACTCATCCTGTTAATTTTATAAATTGCTCAGCAGTTCTATTAGAACTTTTTAGACTTCGCTACAAATTCCAGCTCCGTTTTCTAGGTTTCTTTTAGTGTTCCTTAGAAAGCTAGCTATGAATATTGGTCGAAGCAAAATTTCTTCTTCTCATGCTTCTGCCTGTGGAGAGCCTTGGACACTAAAATCAAGTTCGCAATGCTACCACTTTTTGGTGAAATTCAGATCGGCATACAGTTTATTTTTTTCATGAAATGGAAGGTAAAATGAAGAGATGTGGATTTTTTTACAAAAATGACAGCTTGCTTTGGAAAGAAGCGAGACAAAAACTGGTGTTTTTGAAAAAAAAGGAGTGTGTTTTTGAATGTCTCAGAAATTATTCTTTTGGGGCTTTATCAGTTAAATTTGAATGTTGCTTAACATTTGTGTTGTTATACACACTCCATCACGTGGGCTTCCTAATGCACATATGCTGATTCTAAGTGGCAGGGTACATTTGGTAAATGAATTTTTGATTTGCATCTCTTATATGCCTTCCATCCCATTTCCAATTGTCCAGTGTCCTACTTTCTATTTTTATTTCTTTAAGAAAAATTTAAGAAACACAAGTAATATTTTTTAGATTGATGAATTCACTACAGTGGTAAACAGTTTTTATGACCTTTGTTCTTCATCTATAAAATTGATGTTTATGTGTACTTAAGACATTAATTGTTTAGCCCTGAAATAAATGAATGTTCATCTATTTTCTTTGCCTTGATGCTTTGGTTTTTGCCATTATTTTAGACACACCTGTGTTCTTGAAAATTCAAATGAGATGTTTATTCTCTCTTTTCTCATAGATTTTGAATCTTTTACCTTTTCTCAAGAGAATGATAATATTCCATGTCTCTTCAGTTTTACGAATGGAGCAGGAAGTCGAGAAGTTCATACGTGATCCTACTAGAGAGCAGATGGAGTTTCAGCAGTTGCCTACTTCTTATTTGCGTTTGGCTGCACATCGTGTAGCCCAGCACTACTCACTGCAATCAATGGTTTTATTGGATAATAATCAGCCTGATGGTTCTGGTTCCAGAATCATTGTACGCAAGACTTCTAATCTTCAGCTTCCTTTGATTCGTCTTGCTGATGTTCCTGTAAATCTACCTGCAGAAGATACTGGTGTTGTTAAGGTTGCAATCAAGCAGAGGCCACAGAGGGGTTCACCCTCTGGAAGCAGTTCTAATTCACACTCCACGAAATCTAATAGTGCTAAAAGTGTGGAGGAACGAACGGAGGAATACAATAGAGCTCGAGATAGGATATTTAATCCCAATAGATCTAATGCAAGTCCCAGTGACAAACCAGAAAGCGAATTGAGGATGCAAAAAAGTTTCCAGCAAGGTCCACAGGGTATAATGAAGGTAGAAGAGATAATTCTCCCAGGAGGTGGCTCTCATGTCAATGCGGGAAGACATTTATTAGATTCTTCTGCAGTTAGCACTAGACCAGATAGAAGTAGGACAGAAAAGGAGACAATTTGTAGGTCAAAAACTAATAAAAAGGTGGCCATCTTTCAGGATCGTGAAGTTGATTGTAAGGATCCTGACTATGACAGGAGCTATGACAGGTAAACCCCTTTCTCTGCTCCCAAAATAAGGGTTCCAAGTCACCGCTTCCTATCCAGTAATCTGTGTGATCTATGTTATGAGTGTGTGTGTGTGTTCTCTCATTGCGTTTAATACTTGGAATTTCTTTAATATAGATAGCCTTTCTATCTATTTTTGTTTCTTTTTAAGCAGTCTTTTGTTTTTTCGGGCCTATCTATACATTTTATCGTGCACTCATCTTGTCCCTGTTTGACTCTTTTTATTTCAAAACTCATTAGTTCTTGTACTTATTTTCAACCATACATTCACGTAATAAAATATTTTGCACGTAAATCCAAATCTTTTCCCTACATTTTAACCACATATTCTAAAAAAAAAAATCACTATTTAAAGCATCATTTTCCCCCAGTTTCTCTTTATAATGGCCATCAAACAGGGGTTGTATTAAATCCATTCATTAAATATAAAACTTCTACTTTTAGCTCCTTTCCCCCATAAGCCAGGGGTCTAATATGTAGTTCTACAGCTTTTTTGGCATTCTGTGGATATGGAACTCGGTTTTTTATCAGCTAGTTGATTAAATTTGTTTGAGATTGGTTTACGATTATTTAACCTCAGCAGGCCTGGACTAATATTTTAGTATTTTTATCAGATACACTCAAAGGTTTGACCCTGGATTTGGATTCAATGGAGGCCCCTACACTATCCAACCCATGTATCCACCTGCATTGAACTACAACACTGAATTTCCTCAACTTGGATCAAATTATAGGCCTCCGATCTCTTCTGAACACCGCCAGCACATACCTGGGCTATGGGCTGTACCATCAGCTCCTCCTGTTATTGCGTATGGTCGCCCAGAAATCATGATGCCCCCGTTTATTCCCAATCATGTCAATGCACACTCAAACTCTGCTCTTTACCTACATTCTGCCCAGTATCCTTGTCAGTACTCTGGACTGCCATTTATCCATCCTCGTGGAGCCATTCACCAATCCTTTTCACAGGTATGATATTTGAAATCAGTCTTATCTGTCCTGTGGTTCCAATCTAATTGGCAACTTATTATTGATTATCTTTCTGCACTTTCACCCAACATCTACATCCCACCCCAATGCTCCCTCAGAAAGAATTGAAGTAATGTAAACTGTAGATCAAAAGACAAACCAATTAAAGAAAATTTGAGAAATAGACCCTTGAGCCAATTTCAGTTTAGGAATACTAATGCAACTATTTTATAACTGGATTTAATTATGTTGTGAGTCCAGTATTCGTTCCTCAATCCACTCCCCTTCCTTATTATTACTCAATAGGGCAGCTGCTGGCTCAAGTTCCTCACCGCCTAGTTGCCTGAAACCCACCTTGCCAACTACACTACCTCATTTCTTTCATAAACTGCAGGGTAAGTAAAAACCCACATTAATAAACCACGTGCAAGTCAGATTTTTATTCCCAACAAACGGGCTACAGGGGGAGAAGAAGATCTGAAATTAGCAGTTCAAATTCAACCCAACTGCGAGAGCCGAGGAGTGCAAATGAGGGAGACAATCATTATTATTTGTTGACGAGTTTTAAATCTGCATCACTGATAACTTTTCATATTTAGCTGGTAGCTAAATATATATATATATTTTTTTTCTTATCAAAAAAAAAAAAAAAATTAGCTGGTAGCCACACACACTAACATCATGAGACCAGATATACGCCCTAGTTCTCTGTAACGAGGGGACTATGAGCTGATTATGAAGTCTTCTTGGCTGCATGTTTTACACATTCCTTTCCCGTGTATTACTTGGTTCTTTTCTGAGGGAGAAATCTTAGAATATACTCTATGTGCATTCATTTTCTTTATCAAGATGCATAAAGTATCATCTAACGACTTGATTTATATACCTAAATTTTTTTCTTCTTAGCAATTTTTGTTGTTTGATTCCAGAAACAAGGGAAAAGATAACCTATGTTTATGTCTACTGTTTGCTTCTTTCTATCTTGTGTTTATCAAACACTACTATCAATTTCTCTAAGGTGAATGAAAATGAGCAACCATTATAAGCCTCCTGTGCTTCTCCTCCAGTCATCTCCCCCTCCCCCTCCCCCTCCCCCTACCACTCTTTCCCCCGAAACAACAAAGCCATTGTAAAAAATATGTTTTCAGCCATGCAATGTGTACTGTACAGGGTCCTCACCACTATGTAATCATGGCCGTATACAACGCAAATAGATGACATCAGAATAACTTGATTTCAATCCATTTGAAATCGCTTGATACCAATCTTTGAGTAGATATTTATCATATTTTTTCCAGTTTGTTGTCTATTGGAATCCCCAGTTCTTAAGAAAATGATTTTACTGCATGCTTGTAGCATAGGGGCTCTGCTATTGAACTTGAAGCCAACAAGTAAATAGAGAGCTCTAGGAGGAGGAATATCCTAAAAATGATGTAATGTAGTTTAAAATGAAATGAAGATAGAATATAATTATTATATATGACCACAAAATGACTACCAAATTGGAATATGTGGAATGGCAATTGGGACATTTTGCTTTATGATGGTGACTGTTGTGCATTAAAAGACAAAATGCTAATAGGATGAATGTAGCAAAATGTAGATATTAAGAAGGATGCATCATGACACTAGAATGGATATATTTAGAGTGAGGATGTATGCAAAGAAGTGATGTAGCACCAATCGAGGATAAATTAAGGTGACAACAGTATAGCTATTTGAGTTGTCTTGTATAGACCTATAGCAGTTCCCACGTACTAATACCACACAATTTTAGTATAACATGTTAGAAGAGGGATAAGCAGACTAAAATTACATGGCTTTAGATGGTTGCAAGATATTTGATTTTATAGGACATTTCAAAGATATCTCTTAGTTGATTAAAATGGAGGAAATGGACTTTTACAACCAACTAAAAATTTTGTGGGGAATAAAGTTTTTAACTTTTTTTGGCGTTGTGGAGGGGGGGTGGGGGGAGGCACAATGTGACGCTCCTTAGGTACCAAAGATGCACTCTGGGTAGAAAAAGTTGGGAGTAGAATGCATTTGCAAGGACTTCAACAAAATTGAAGACCCCAAATCCTGTTTGATTTTTGGGTTGGCACGGGCAAATTGTGTTAAATGAAGAAAATAATAAAAAAGTTGGCACTAGATTAACCTCTGCAGGCCCCACCTGACATTTAACCAAATTTGAGCGAGCTCTCAAATCTTCCCTTCTCGATTTTGAAAAGAGAATTTTTAAAATTTTAATAATTAAGGTGGCATGATATATATTGTGTCACTCTGTAAACGTAGCATTTAGCAGGAACTTAAAATCTCAATACTTTGACTTCTTCCATAGGACAGTTGTTTGAGACAGGCAAAAATGGGTACTCGATAATCTATTCTGTTTTTGCATGGTTGTATTCCAATCTTGCTTCAAGTGTAATTTTTTCTGATATTTGATTTGAACTAGAGCTAATATTTGTTTGGACTGGTTATTTATCATCAACATAGATGTGTGATGACCTGACTATATTGCACGTCTCTTTTCAGTTTCATCAGCAGCAACCAGATACCAGTTTTGGATTAGCCCGGCCCCGGTGAGGGGCTTGGGCCATGCCTGCACCCTGCCAGCATATTCTTGGGTTCGATCCTGTTGTGGCTGCTAGGGCAGCATACTTGTCCCAACTGGCCAGGGTGCAGGCACAAGAAACCGAGATGCTCTAAGTGGACATTCTTAACCTGTATTCCCTACTTTTGTCCATGCTGTATGTCTTGGTTTAATAGAGCTTCCTTTGGAGTTCATTCGTCGTGGCAGTGCAAATGACTGGATGAGTTCCCTAGAACTCTGCTTTGCCACTAATGATGATGAAAAATATTGGAACAAGAAGAGGAATTATTATAGCTCGGAAATCGCATTTTCTATGTTGATTGCAGGTATCTTGAACACCTTAATCTGACTTCAATTTTTCTGTTTCTGGGTTATGATATTGTTATTAAAGAGTGATGCCCATTTTGTGAACTTAGATTTATTTGTTCTGTTGCAGCACCTGCACACATTAAAAACCATGATTGACTGACGGATGTGTTGAAGAGTAGGCAGAAATTTCCAACTTAGGTGCTTGGCTAACATGTGGTTTGTATGATTGTTACTGTGAAGATTGTTTACAAATCATGAATTCATCAAACGTGTGAGCTTATATCATGCTGATGTTGAGAGATGCTATTGTGCACACTTGAGACCACAATTATTGTTGTAACAGATTTTGATTCCTCACGTGCCATTGCTATTGTTTTCTTGCTCACTACTCAATTCATTGTATATATACATTGCCTTACCTGTACTCGAGTAATAACGTTTTATTAATGAAAGTTATTCTTCTTCCTTTTCACATTATTAAAAGTTCTTAGCTCTCTCAATCTTCTATTAAATTAACTTGGTATCAGAGTCATCTATGGTTAATACTGGATCAGATGACAATGCACAATCAGCTCAACCTACCTCTAGTACACTGATGCGTTCATTGTTGGGAGGAAATCAGATGACATCAGTTGGAATCACTCTCACTCAAGTTCCATCGGTCAAGCTGGATAGAAACAATTATCTGTTGTGAAAGAATATGATTATGCCAATCATCAGAGGACATAATCTCGAAGGTTTCATTGATGAAACTAAAGGTTGTCCAACAGAATTCCTTGCAACGCAGACAACCGGCTTTGCTGGAGTCACAGTGGAAATGGTACCTAATGCTGAATATGGTAGGTGGATGTCAACTGACTGGTTATTGATGGGTTGGCTGTACTCATCAATGACACAAGAGATTGCCATGAGAGTAATGGGGTCATCAACTGCCTGCAATCTTTGGAAAGCTGTTCAAGAGAGTTTTGGAGTTATGAACAAGTCAAGGATCATCTTCCTCACCAGTGAACTTCAAAGGGCAAGAAAAAGATATTGATCAATATCTCAATACAATTAAGCAGCTAGCAGACAATCTTGAGATCGCTGGGAAGGTTATTCCTCATAGTGCTTGTCACTCAAGTACTAGCTGGTTTAGATGAAGAATATACTCCTATTGTTGTTTAAATTAACAGCAGAGAATCAATTTCTCGGCATGAACTGCAGTCAGTACTTATGACTTATGAAAGTAGAATCGAACATCTAAATGTTGTGAAAAATAGCCTGGCCTCAGTTAACTTAAGCCCAGCTTCAGTAAACTTCACTCACAGATGAAACACTAACAGAGGAGGAATGTTTAACTATGGTGGAAGAAGTAACTACCATAGGGGAGGCAGAAACAGAGGCAGGCAGATTACAAGTAAAGGGCCATGTCAAATTTGTGGAATGAGCAACTGTTCAACAACTAAATGTTTCAACCGGTATGATGAGGGGTACATGGGTACCAAACCTGACGACAATTATCAAAACTACCATCAGAACCAGCAGCTTTCATAGCCCCATCAAACACCACTACAAATCCAGCTTGGTTTGCAGATTTAGGTGCCAGCAATCATGTTTCTGCTGAAAGAGAGAACCTGGTTGAAGCACATGAGTATGGTTGTAAGGAAAGATTTGTTGTTGGTAATGGAAATAAACTTCAAATTACTTACATTGGCACAAATCACTTGAACACACAGAATAACAAGTCCTTAGTCCTCAGTAATGTGTTATTAGTACCTTCAATCAAGAAAAACTTGTTAAGTGTTTTACAGTTAACTTCTGACAATGGTGTTTTTATGGAATTTAATTCTAATTCTTGTGCTATTAAGGACCAACAAACCAAGGAAGTGCTGCTGGAAATGAGGCTTAAGGATGGCTTATATCAGCTTGAACTCCCAGATCAAGTTAAGAGATCATCCTATCCAGAGTCAGTTCACTCAAATAAATCAAAATCCTTAGTATGTGTTGTTGAGTCAGAAAAAACCACGAAGTATGAGTCCCAATTAAAGTTGTGACACATAAGACTTGGACATCATACATGTCCAGTGATGTCACAAATGCTTAAAGTCTATAATGAAAAACTTAATGAAAATGAAGTTAGTTAATTTTGTGATGCGTGTCAACTGGGTAAATCTCATTATCTGCTATTCAAATTATCCACATCACACGCTTCAACACCTTTTGACCTTATTCATACATATGTCTGGGGTCTTGCACCTCTTCAATTAACCTCTGGTTTAAGTATTATATTCTCTTCATAGATGACTACAGTAGGTACACCTGGATATACCATATGAGGAACAAATCAGAAGCCTTAAACTCATTCATTTAATTCAAACATCTAGTTGAAAACAAGTTTGACAGGAGAATAAAAACTCTTTAATCAGATTGGGGAGGTGAGAATAGGGCATTTATCGAATTAGCTCAACAATCAGGCATTGAAATGAGGTTTTCTCATACCTCAGCTCAAAATGGAAGAGCCGAAAGTAAACATAGACATATTACTGAAATCGGCCTAACTCTCCTTGCTCAAGCAAGTATGCCATTGCACTATTGGTGGGAATCTTTTCACACAACTACCTATCTCATTAACAAATTACCTACTCCTATTCTCAAAATGAATTCTCCCAGTCCAATTCTAACTAATGAGCAAACTGACTACAAGTCTCTTAGAGTGTTTGGTTGTGCTTGTTTTTCCCGTCTAAGGCCTTACCAAGCTCACAAGTTCAGCTTTCACTCCACTAAATGTGTCTTCCTTGGGTTCAGCAATTCTCACAAAGGCTATAATTGTCTCAATCCCATTGCTAAAATTTATTTGTCCAGGCATGTTGTTTTCAATGAAAGGGAATTCCTATTCCGTCGAGCTTTCTCAACAAAAACATCAACTCCCAAAAGTCTGAAACCATCATTCAGTATTTACCTCTTCACACCTCTTTTAACCTTGATCAAACATGCTCAACTGATTTAAGTCGTTCTGATCCAACTCCTCCTGCAGCAGTTCACAAGTCAGATCAACAAGTAGTGTCTATAAATGAGTTACCAGAAATAAATGAACATGAAGAATCAGAAGAACATACCCAAAGGGAAAATCTAGAAGCAACTGAAAATGCTGAGGTTGAGCAAGTTGAAATGAATAATGAGGTTGATCAAAGTCAGGCTATAGAATCATATAGACAGATTGTTGAACATCCTATGACTATAAGGAGCAAAGTTGGTATTTTCAAACCAAAGGTATACTTAACGCAATGTCAAGAATACAAGATTGACCCAAGCAGGACTGAACCAAATGATGTGCTTGAAGCTATGACCGACAATAATTGGAGAGGAGCTATGGAGGAAGAATACAAAGCTCTAATAAGGAACAAGACCTGGAAACTTGTGCCACCATTGGCAAACCAAAAGGTGATAGGAAATAAGTGGGTTTTCAAACTCAAACGTGACATTGAAGGAAGAGAGCTGAAACACAAGGCAATGCTCGTTGCTAAAGGGCTTCCTACAAACCTCAGGTGTTGACTATCATGAGACATTTAGCCCTGTGATAAAAGCATCTACACTGAGAATAATTCTTTCAATTGCTGTCTCAAGAGGATGGAGTGTTAGACAAGTGGATATCAAAAGCTAAATGAAGCAGTATTTATGAATCAACCAGAAGGCTTTGTTGATAAGGCTAATCCTACTTTCGTTTGCAGGCTTGAAAAGGCCCTTTATGGACTCAAGCAAGCACCTAGGGCGTGGTATGAAAGGTTAAAAATGACACTCCTAGACTGGAAATTCACTATGTCCAGGGCAGACAGCTCCCTGTTCTTTTTTATGAATCAGAAGCAGGTTATTTTTTGCCTAGTGTATGTTGATGATATAGTAATAACTGGAAATGATCACAACATGCTGCAGACCTTCATCAACATAATGAATACTGAGTTCACATTAAAGGATATGGGTGAGTTGCATCAATTTTCGGGAGTTGAAGTAAGAATGTTTGAATCAGGAATGCAATTGACTCAGACTAAATACATAAGGGACTTGTTGAAAATGTTTAATTTCGAGCACCTTAAACCTTATATCACACCTATGACAGTAGGCAAGTGCATCTCCAAGGATGATGGTGAGGAAATGACGGACTCCTCCTTACACAGAAGTGTCATAGGTGGGTTTCAGTATCTCAGTCATACACGCTCTGATATATCCTTTGCGGTAAATAAGTTAAGCTAATTTCTGCAAGCTCGATGTATATTGGAAGGCAGTTAAGAGGATCTTCAGGTATCTGAAAGGTACTATTGAACAAGGTCTTTGGATACAAAGAGCTGACAAAATAGAAATCACAGGCTTTGCTGATGCTGATTGAGCATCATTCCCGGATGACAGGAGGTCGACAGCTGGTTATTGTGTCTACTTAGGAGACACTTTGGTGTCCTAGTCTTCAAAGAAATAGTAGGTGGTGGCTAGATCGAGTACTGAGTCAGAGTATAGGGCTCTAGCACAAGTTTCAGCTGAAATAACTTGGATTGAGTCATTACTTAAAGAAATCAAGCTGCAACCTACTTCATCTCCTATTCTATGGTGAGATAATCTTAGTGCTACTGTGCTAGTGCTCTAGCATCCAATCTCGTTTATCATGCTAGAACTAAACATATAGAATTGGATATACACTTCGTTAGACAGAAAGTCCTTGAAGGGAAACTCAAGATCCAATACATTCCTTCATCAGATCAAACCGCAGATCTAATGACCAAACCTCTGTCTTAAACCAGGTTTTTGTTTCTCAAAGACAAGCTTGAAGTAAGAGAATGAACTCCAGCTTGATGGAGGATTTGAAGATTGTTTACAAATCATGAATTATCAAACGTGTGAGCTCATATCATGCTGATGTTGAGAGCTGCTATTGTGCACACTTGGGACCACGATTATTGTTGTAATTTGATTCCTCACGTGCCATTGCTATTGTTTTCTTGCTCACTACTCAATTCAGTGTATATATACATTGCCTTACTTGTACTCGAGTAATAATGTTTTATTAATGAAAGTTAGTCTTCTTCCTTTTCACATTATTAAAAGTTCTTAGCTCTCTCAATCTTCTGTTAAATTAACTGTTACCCGTATTATACTAGAAAATTTTCTATTTCGTTATTATAAATTATATTTGTGACTAGTTTTATTTTTCGTTATTATTTTTCTTGTTTTATACTTATTTTCACCAACATGTGTACAATAAAATATTTTATATGCAAATCCAAAATTTTTCCATACTTCTTAACCGCGCATTCTTAAAAAAAAAAATTTCACTATTCGAAATTCCATTTTTTTCAAAATAATGGCCAACAGGGGCTTATTTATAATTTAAATCGTTTTGCGAGCACTTTCCAAGTCTACTCAGCCACATGTTTGTGGTATGTGGTATATCGAGTTGTTTATAGTCGTATGTGGATGAAAGAGAAATAAAGGTTGAAACTAAACTTATCAAACGTGGAATAATTGGTGAAAAAAACATTGTGTTTTTATTCATTTAACTCTTGTTTGGTCTTTATTTTAATTTTTTTTTTCAAATTCATTTTTAACCACATATTTAGTGCAATTCGCAATTTTTATCAATTTTTTAAAGATATTTAATTAGAGTAATGCTACAGGTACATAAGTATCTACATAAGGGTTGACATAATTACAAGTGGCATATAATCCAACATTTAATTTAAATTTCACACTTACACATCAATAACTGGATGATTGACACATCACCATTATGTGCACCATTATGTATATCATTATGTACCTCTAGCATTATTCTTTGTATTTTCTAGTTATATCTGTGACACAGAAAAAATTGTTCAACAATTCGGTTAATGGTCGGCTTAACATGAAACGACACGTGTGAACAATTATGTTTTAGAAGAAGATCGTTTATTTTTTTCTAGACAGGCATGTCTCTTTTGGAACATGTTTTTTCAACCAACGGTATCTTTTTAGTCAAAACTTTTGGCTTATTACCGAGTATCGACCCACCTTTATAAATGGATTTTCATACTTATTTTTTTAGATAAATATTAGCAGCAGTGGGACCTACCTTTATACTTGGCCCTTTAACTTCCCAGTGACGTTTTAGGGCAGCAAGAATAATGCTTCATCTCCCACCTCTGTGTTGGCAAGCATATGCTGAATCATGTTTCTGGTTTCACAATATGCATGTTGCCATGCCCTTGTCGTCTATCTCTTCCCATGCATATCAACATTCCAACTGCCCCCCGTTTCGTTTCCCAGAATTTCACTTTTTTTTTATGCAACTTTCTCGTGCTACTTGGCCTCGAGACAAAACCAAAACCCCTTATTATGACAAAAAGGGCTTTGCAGATAGCCTTTTTTTCTGCTTATTTTGATTCAAACTGGTGTTCTTCTCGTGTCCATGCTTGCTTCTCAAGTATATTCATCCATTTCTATCTTCTCTCTTTCTCCCTCTAAAACATATATAAAGATTTATCTCTCTAAGAAACAATACATATAAGAGCAGTTCCTTCTTGGCCCCCAGCATCTCCCTCCCTAGAAATTCCTCATAGGTAAGTGACTTATGTTTTTGAGTAACTTGTTTGTTCGGATACTCTATTTTTCTTCACAGTTTGGACCAGAAAAAAGTTAATTATTTTAAAGCTCACTTACTTAAACGAAGTTACCATGTTTCGTGTATGGATGCTTTATTTTCAGGCTCAGATACAATTACGTCGCCATGGAGAAGCAGAACTCAGAGCTGTACTTGAAGAACTGCCACATTATTCTTGAAAATGAGAGGCTAAGAAAGAAAGCGCAACGGCTCGACCAGGAGAATCGGGCTCTGTTATCTGAGCTGCAGCACAGACTTTCAGAAGCAAATTCAGCACAAAAAAATGAATTTGGAATCAACACCACCACAGAAAATTCTACGACAGATCATAGGAAATCCAACAAACCTTGATCAAAACTCAGGACCCCCATGTTTAGGATTTCGTGTAAAATAAGGTTTAATTCTTTGAAGTATCCATGATCATGCCTTGAAAATTGTTTGGATAAGACGAAATAATGTAATATATATTAAATGTTTGTTTGAAAGAATTACATGAATAAACAGAGCTAGTGGAATTTGCCATTATCGTGCCTTTCTTTCAAGTCACTTGATCAAAAGATTCACTACCGCGTGTTAAAATTAACTAAACGATCAGATGGAGAATGCTTTTTCAACTTGTGGGCTTAAAGATACGAAGTTAATATTTATCCCCTGTTTGGTTCAGATTAAAAATCTGATTTTAATTCAAGTCAAAGTCAAACAATCAATATTAGCCACATCTATCATGGGTTCCACAACTTTTCAACCACACATTTCAAAAACTTCTATCACAATCCACTAAAAATCTAACTTTAATCTCTATCAAACATTCTTGTTTATCATTTATCCTAATTTAAGAGTAAAACTCCCCTCGTCTATAAAATTAATAAGAAAAATGACACGAAGTATGATTTCAGCATACAAAATTTAAGTTTTCGTGCTTGATACTATGATTCTTTGTAAGCTTCTTGTTGAAGAGGTTGTTGGACCTGATGTAATAGTTTATTTATTTTTCATATTGATAATGTTTGACTGAATAGCTTGAAAAGTCTTTTTAAAGATTGATTAGTCACATTAATGAAACGAATTTTTGGCCTCTGTTTGATTTCACTAAAAAAATAAATTATGTTCAATTTTTTAATTCATAAATTTTCATTAGAATCTGCTAATTTCTATTTTATTTATTTATTTATTTTAACTCAACCAGAAGGGGATTCTAACTATTTTGAGAAGGTCTTTTCATTTATATCGAAAATGGATGACAACGAGTTTGACAACCTTTTACATGCGACGAATCTCTTGTGATTAAAAAATTAAAAAAAATGGTGGACTCCCAGTGTCAACCTACACGTCTAACTATTTTCGATATGAATGACACGACTGAATTGGACTTTCTTGTAATAAATGGAAATTATAATGTGTGGTAGAGTTACAGTGCAGAAACTGTCCACCAGATAGCGGCTCGTACAACTCACCCAAGCACAGACCATTGTGAGAAACTGCACCGTTTTTGTGTGCACCCAAAATGGCGGGAACACTCCAATCCCTAAGTCTCCGCCATCCAGTCGCCGGTGCTCCGCCGTTCCGTCTACTTAATCCAACATTTCCGGCGACTGCGTTCCCTTTTTCGGGCCACAAGGCCCGTAATTCATGTTTTATTTGGAAACGCAGCTCCATTTCAACAATTCCAATTATCAAAGCCAGTTCACAATCCCATCAGGTTCACTATCTTCCATCTAACCCCATCTATATTTGAAGAAATTTGTTATTTTTTGGTTTTGCATGCTCTGAGCAGAATTTCTTGTGTGTTTAGGGAAGTGGCGATGATAAAAGTGAATTCCCATCAGTTTTGAGTTCCGGAAAAGCTTCAAATTGGACAAAACCATTGGTGAATTTTGCATCTAATAACTTTCTCCCATTAGGTATGTTGGCGATGCGCACGCTCTCTTAAGAAAATGCAAAATCTTCTATTTGGAACATTATCAGTCTGATGATGTCATTGCACTTATTAAGTTGCTTTTTGATAAATGAACAATCGAGATATCTGATGTTCAAAATTGAGCCTTTTTATTTAGAATTTGGATTGGATGACTAAATATGTGGACTGTGTTGAAGAGGATCATTTGAATAAATTTTTTTAACAAGTGAACCATCTAAGGGTCCCAAAGACTATTGTTCGATTACGATGTACAGATGTCATATGGAAAAAAGCAACGGTAAGAAACCTGTTCACGGTTTACGTAGTTCAATATTCTGATATCTCCGTATTTGCGGGGAACTCGGGGAAGGACGGGTATGAGATTCAATAGTAGGACTGGTGAATCACCCTCTAGGTTTTCTATCATCAGTTAAAACTCTTCTATAATCATCACAAGTTGTTTAGAAAATCACTTACCTATACCATATAGAACTGCCTCTTCTATAATCATCACAAGTTGTTTTTTTTTGATAAGTAATAATCATCACAAGTTGTTAGAAAATCACTTCCATATACCATATAGAACTGGAGAACGTGCTAAAGAGGACTCTCATAGCCACACCCACTTTTCCTTAATTTTTTTTGGTACTAACCAACAACCTACTTAGAATAATAATGTCTAAAAATTAACTTTGTGTTGTTCACAATCCTTTTTGATTATTTTAATCATTAATTTCTTAAGTTCTAAATTTAAATTCCATTTCCTGTGATGCGCTCAACCTGTGTGTCCAGGTTATCAGTCTTAAGTATGTTCTTCTCGCTTCAAAATTTCAGTATAAATCTTTAACCATAGTTTCCTTAAACTAAGAGAAGTAAATGGCAATAGACAAACAAGGGAAGATAGAAGGATTATGACTATCAAATAATTGATAACTGGTAATATGGCAGATATATATATACAATATACCTTTATCTACAGTGCTCAACCAGAAGTACCTTTACTTGCATTTTTTGATGTATATGAAGATTTTCGAAACATGGATTAAATTGTGCATGTGCAATGCTATACGTTTCGTATTAGTTGTAGGTTGGAAGTTACCTGTACCTTATTAATGTGGTGATAGAGTTTGAAATTTTAGCGGTTTGTCAACATGATGGGAGACATGTGGGTAAGATACATAATAGATTTGCTTATGGCATTCATGGCACCAAGTTGTGTAGAGCTTCCTTGCAATAGCTTTGCAATATTCTTTGAATTTGGTCACCATTGTCCCTAAAATTTGTTTAATTCTTTTTTTCTGCGGACGGTTTTAATGTGGGGATAGAGTTTAAATTATTAGTGGTTTTGACAACATTGTCGATACGATGGGAGACATGAGGGCAAGATGCGCAGTAGATTGGCATATGTTATTCAAGAACCCAAGTTGCGTAGAGCTTCATTTCAATGGTTCACAATATTCTTCCAGTTCTGTCACCATTGTCCCTAAATTTGTTGGGTTCTGTTTTTTGCCGATGATTTTAACTTGCAATATTTGTATCATTGGCTAAAATATTGGCATAATATTTTATGCAGCTCTTGTCTGTGGAGTAGTATTTGGACTTTCGAATCCTGGTCTTGGTTGTCTTGCTGACAGATATGGCTTGTCTAAATTTAGCACTTTTGGAATATTTATCATTTCAGGTAAGGTTGTCTCTGTTTTCGCAGTTTCTACATTGACCATGTCTAAATTTAGATATTTACTGTTACCCAGTTTTGCAATTGTTTTATTATCCTTGATATACTTTATATCTTCTCTTGCTTTTCTGTTATTCAGGATTGACCTTGCGCAGTGATGAAGTTGGTGCTGCTGCAGAAGCATGGCCAGTTGGACTTTTTGGGCTTGTATGTTGTCAAATTCTTATGTGCCAGTATAGTTTCAGTAGGGCCATTCTTCATTTTTTCTTCATCTTTTCTCAGATATAAGTTTGTTTTGATTTCTTTTAGTCTCCAGTTTATTTTCTCTTTCCAGGGTGGGGGATAGTAAGATGTTCAAAAGATCAATTTGTTATTAGAAACCTAAAATGCAATAGGCAGCTGTAATAGTACTCATGCTTTAAACTATCCCAATTGAGGCATGCCTCAGAGGGAGGCGTCTAAAAAACGCTTCATGGCATTAATTGTGAGGCAATTTTGGAGGCATTCACCTCAACTGAGGCCCACTTCTCACAGCACCACCTCAAGGCTGGTGATGCGTGTTCTCTTTATTTTTCATGACTTATTTACTTTGCTGTAGGTGTGGGCCCAGAAGACGTTAAATATCCTGATGGACCCACGTTGGGAATAACCCACTGTCCCATTAAACCATTACAAAATTGTGTTTCTCATAGATTCACTGGGAATAGTCCATTGCCCCCACCAACTAAAGTAGTAATTACTTCATAGATTTTTCTTTTGTTTGTTTGCACAATTAAAATTGTTCTATTATGAATTATGAAAATTGTTTATGATTTAATATGTGTTTATTTTTCATTTTAATATTTTTTTTTTGGCATTTTTGGGTTTACGGTAGGGTTTATGCCTCTTAACATCTTGAGGCTTACACCTCGCCTAACGAAGGAAAAACACATTACTACCCAATTACACCATTTTAAACACTGATACTACTTTATGCATTGTTATATGAGTTATGTCACCATTGCAGTGACTGGCAGTTGATATCATTAAGGACAGTATCATTAGAAAATGCCAGTTCCTTTATATGATGATGTGAATATTATGTTTGTTTCTGTTTGCCTGCATTATTTATAAATGTTAGTATCTGGTGCAACTCTTCTGTTTTTAAATTTTAGTTCTGAAAAATATGTTTTTATGTAATTTTCTCACTTTATTTCTTGATGATTGACAGTCTTTCTTTTACCTGTGTTGTGTTGCAGGGTTCAATTTTAATATTCACCCCCTTATTTTCAAAGATTATTTTGCTACTTAAGCTCCAGCCGCAAGAATTTGTCACAGGTTAGAAATTGGACTTGCTTTGATGATGTAAGTGGCATTTGGACCAGCTGCCTTTAATTTCAAGATTAGAGAATTCTGAAGGATCATTATGTGTTGGTGGGGAGGTGTTGCTTTTGAAGCTTCCTAAACTCGAAAGATGCCTTAAATTAAGCCCCCGTTTGAGCCCTATTCTTTCGAACTTATTTTTCTGCAAACTCATTTTCACACATTCTCCCAGTAAAACTATTTTGCACACAAACCCAAATTTTTTCCTTATTTTTTATCCACATATTCTTAAAAAATTTTTTTTTTTACAAAATCTATTCTCAAAAAATGGAGCTCAAACTGGGACTAAAGAGACAGGATACAAAGTTTTTTAAATATCATACCAAAAATTCCATAGTGATTTTTTTCCCTTGTCATTTACACCTAACCTGCCCACTTTGCTTCTTAGCTGCATGCATATATTGAGCTCGTGAAATGTTGAAGTATACAAACTATTATAGTAACCCTGGAAACTACTGATATCAATTAGCTTTATTTATAGCTTTTATTTATTTCTACTATAGAAAAATAAAGCTTTTGGAATTTCTTCTTCTTGTAGTGCTTTTCTTGCATGTTACCTTTCCATTTATTGGGTTTTTAATTTTTAATATCCTGATAAATATTGTTGATGATAAAATTTATATTGTTGACTCAATTGAAGAGGTGCCCTCAATCGCATTGCCACTTCTTAATAAGGAAATTTATGATATTGTTTTTGATGTGCTCATGTCGGATATACTTAATAACCAGAGAAAGATTCCAATGCCCACACTTGACACGCACCCATAAGAGAAAAAGGAAAGAGAAAGAAGAGAATGTTGGAGTCTCCCTATTTTTTTATTCCTTGTTTCTTTAAATTGCTTTTCTGTATGGGATGGGCTGAGAGGGATCTAGACGACTTTTATGCTTTTTTTATACTTTCTTTTTTATTACTGTTTTGGGACTTTTGGTTTTTACAGGACTTGCCATATTTAGTTGTATGCCGACAACATTATCTAGTGGAGTGGCACTAACTCGGGTATGTTGAACATCAACATGAATTTTCCAAAGGTATGCTTTAATTTATTTCTTGGACCAGAGAGAAGTGTGCTGTGAGTTTGACTGCAGGTTTAATTTGGTAAAACGTAGCTAGCTGGAGGGAACTCTGCCCTTGCCCTAGCAATGACCCTGATATCCAATTTGTTGGGAATTCTAATTGTAAGTTCTGAAGCCAAAGATTGTTCATACTTCTACTTGATTAAAATTGACACCATACATGTTGCATTCTGGGATAACTATGATTTTTTGTTCATTTAGATATCAGCCAGTCTCTTAACTACTGTGACATGTTATGTGGAGTATATATCTCCATGCCCATGGGTAGAGTCTAGAGAAGACGATGCAAGATATTAATCATTAAAACAGAATATTATGTTTTTCCATTGGAAATTTTGATTGAAAATAATGTTTAATATTTCCATTCTGTTAATGAACATCTTCTAATGGAAAAGATCTGATATTAGGTTCATCTAGAAGGATTTTATTGTGTCCTCATATTTTTGAGTGTACCCTTGTTATTAGTCGACTTTGTCATGTGTGTTGGGATGTCTAGTTCACTCTCATCAAATTGTTCTTTCACTATGCATGCAAGCTACATTTCTGTCTATTTTCTTTTTATGACCAGAATATTTTCTGTCATACCATAGGATAAGTTTTTGCACCTGTTAAAACTGATGCAATTCTAACTATTACATGGCACCACAGTACAAAGTATGATTGTGCTCCCTTTCCTTGTTTTTGGTTACACAGTCAGATCTACTGCATTTAACTGTGGCCTTTTTACTTTAAGCTAGATAACCATGGGCATGCTCTTTCTTTGTGCTCCCCTCTCTGTTTTCCAGAGTGGATCTCAATTACATTGACTGTCTGTTTTGTAATTTACTGCTCCTTATAATGGTTATGATGTCAAAATTTTCTTAATATTATTTGCAAAGTGACTATTGCATATTCACACGTCAGATACCTTTCTCCATCTCAAAATTCATAGCTGCTGGAGTTGGTGTATCAGTTCCAACTGAGCAGTTGTTCAGAAGCCTTGTTCTTACACTTTTGGTTCCACTTATCTTGGGGAAGGTCAATCTCTATCCTCTTGAAACTACTATATGCAATGTGCAACTCTTCATTGTCTTTGGTTTAAAATAGCACAAAAATCTTGCACTCCCAGTGTTTTTGCCCGTTTAAGTATTAATGGACAAATAATTCTTTACAAACAAAGTGTCTTCCGATATAGGACATAAGATGTCCTGAGTGGCGGTTGAAAGGTAAAAGAAACACTTCATGAATGAAAAAAGTGTTTTCCAGCAATATCAAAGATCCATAAGTGAAAATCAATATCAGGTACCCAAAATCTTAGATTGCAGATGCTACCCAATGACGAGTTAAATCTTTTATGGTTTTCTGTTTGTAGCTTGAAGTTAGCCTTTTTTTTTTGGGACGAGCTATTATTTTTCTCTGGAAAACTGAATCTATTCCTTACTACTACGAAAAAGATTATTATGTAACAATACCCTATTGTTTTCATTGTCCGTATGATACCATTTAAATGTATCTTCTCATTGAGAGTTGTAACTCTCTGAACAAGTTACGCATACTGTGATGTGTTCACAAATAAATATAATTTCTTCAGGTATCTGTCAAAATATACGGACCTTCAATATTCATCTCTTTCTTATTTTGGAAGATATAAAAGGAATGTACTGTATATTCTGGTTATCTGAGGGCTCCCCTCAATGTTTAATTTTGTTGTACTTTAATCCTCAATTGACAATTTCATTGATGTTTAAGAGAACTGCATCACCCTCCTCTTGCAATAATCTCCATTCGCCATTATTCTTCCCCATCTCATTCATGGTTTGATGCCCTCTCAAGTCTCTTACATCTCATGTTTGATTCTGGTTGGTATGTAGGAGAAAACAATATAGTATATTCCTTTATAGTCAGCACTTTAAATCTATGAGAATAAGTAGCTGAAATGTTAAATGATTTAATAAAATGTTTACACTGTGATCTATTATTTATTTTCGTTGTCCGAGGTGGAAGGTTTTTTTATCTGATGGACTTTGTCAGATGTGTGGTGCAACTCAAGAGAATTGCTTTTTAGATTTTTCTTCTCTTAGCTGAGCTAGCTTTAAGGTTCGGTAAGTTATGTTGCTGAATTATCTGACACAGGTCCTTGCATTTGAAGAGATGCCTTTAGTGAGAATATATTATTTTTTTTATATAGTTTTTAAAATTTTTGGTTTGCAATCACTTATCTCCTTCCCTCTCTCAATTGACAGGTTGCACGAGAACTCTCTAAAGGTGAAACTTTTCGGATTCCTTTCATGATGATTAAGCCACCATTTTGGAAACCAATTTAAAAAACAATTTATAAATTCAGTCAAAGTCAAACGTTAATTTCAACCACACATTCATATCCACTACTCATTTGTTATCCACACATTTTGTTGGATACACTACTATTCTTCTTACTATTCCTGTTTATAAATAATTTATAAATTTTCCAAATGGACACTAAGTGTCTATGGATTTCTGTCTCTCCATTTTCCTTACAATTCTTATCAGTGACCCACTCTATAGCATGTCCCTTACATTGAAGGATTTTTCTGGTCATTAACTGTATATTGAATTAGGTCTGTGGATGTGATGGATTACTATACAGATTGCATTAAGAACTTGCCAAAAATATGAACTTATTTTACGTATAAAATTAACAAATATATTTTCATTTATTTTGTTGTGTTTTGATTTATTTTCTTACCCTAATTATTAGTAACTTAGTTTTCAGTTAGGAAATTTTACCATTTTGATATATTGGCAAATCATATTCTATTAGGAATCTTAAGTATGAATAAGACTTGTATTCCTGAATAAACTAGACAATTGATTTAAGACTTGCAATATAATTGAAATTTCATGTAGTCATAACTAATCACTTGGCAAAAGAACGTGAGATGATAGTGCTTTCTACTCTCGCTTATGTCTATAGTGTACATTTCAGGGTTGGCAGACTTTGCAGATAGAAATCGTAAGCTTTTGGCTGTGCTCAGTGCAATCCTCCTGGGTTTGGTAAGTCCCTGTTGTGTCTTTATTGTCCCACCATCTCATTCTCATTTGTAATTTACTCAAAGAACTATATATATATGTATCCTATCTGTATCGAATCAGATAAATATGCTAGATTCAATTTATTTGGGTAGGATAAGGCTGTGGCTCTGTAAGTGGGGCGTCAGACCACATTTGTGGTAGTAATGCTGCTAGGGGAATAGTGCTCTGTCTATCCCAGCCTTCTGAGGCTAGTCTCACTTTACACACTATAGAACATTCAACATACTGAGTGTTAGAACACATTAAATGCGTGACCAGAACCCAACATGCTGAGAACGTGAGGTGTGGACACTGGATAGTCTCATCTTTTGTGAATTTTATCTAAATGGTCTCTTCAAAATATATACAACATTGGTTAATAGCAACTGCAGGTCAAAGATTAGGTAGATGTCCACTTAGACAGACAGAATCAAGCAAGTGACGTGATGCTATGATAGGATTAGAGGCGGAGTAACTGTTGAGAGAAATCCAGGAAAGAAAAAAGAAACAAAGGGCACTGGAGAACAACAAACATGATTGCGGGAAAAAGAGAAAGTCGTGGGCACTGGAGAATGACAAACATCTTACAACACCACCCCTTTATTTCTATTCCACCGAGAGTAATCAATTAAAAGAAATAAAAATAAAACCCAAGAACACACAAGATTATAGAGGTTCGCCTCAATGTGAAACTACGTCCTCTCCTGCTGTTACAGTAATTCACTATGATGAAAAAAGTTTATAAGAGAAAATCACACTCCTATCTTCTCTAGCCCATCTTTTTCCCTTTTTGATGATAATAAAAAAGCCCAAGGACGGTTCGCTATTTATAAGTTAAATTAGGGCAAAACCGAATTATATAAGGATTCCAATTCCTTAATAGAATTTTACAAGAATACAAATTCCTAAACAGTTTAGCTCCTATTTGAGCCGCGAAGTGGCAATAATTAGGCTCCACAACTTTACATTTACCTCCTATTTGAGTCCATTTTTTAAAATTCATTTTTCTCCGAACTCATTTTTAACCACACATTGTAATTTTGCACGTAAACCCAAAACTTTTTCCCACTCATTTAACCACTTCTCCACAAAAATCACTTTTAACAAAATCTATTCTCAAAAAATGGGGCTCAATCAGGAGCTGATCAGATTGAATGTGTCCATGTGCTTATTAAGAAAGCCAATTCTCTAACATTTAACTACTCTGATCACAAGTGAAGATTTAAATTTTGTCTTACTGTTTCTTAATGGATGATTATTATATGTTTTCTGGCTGTGGATATAGCTGAAAATACTTCTGTTTACTTTCCGAAATTTGACATAAATGATTTTTACCTGTGTCGTAATAAAGCAACAAATTATTGTCAGACATTTTGGAGAAGTGCTTTGTTTTAATTTTATGCATCCAAGATCAAATTGTCTTTTCTTTTGCTTTGCTCAGGTCCCATGGATGCAAGTCAGTAGATCAAGGTCACTGCTCTTAATGGTTAAGCCAGCAATTTTTCTTGCAGCTGTTGGAATGGGAGCGTATGTTCTTTTGCTGCGGCTTTGCTGTCTTGATATTTTATTTATTTTTATTTTTTTTCATATTGAAATTTGGCATCTATTGATCCTTTTAGTATACTTGCAGTTGGGGTGCGTTACTAAAATTCTACATACATTACAGATTGTGTAGGTCCTTCCAGTATACTTGCACTTGGAGTGCGTTATTAAAATTCTACATACATTACAGATTGTGTAGGTACCAGTTAGGAGTAAATTCTGCAGGTGCAAACTCAAGTGTACCCGAATTGATATGATGTTGATCCAAAAAAATTGAAAGAAAGAATATATTCACACAAAGTTGGAAGCTATTCGGCCCACTTTGTGCGCCTTTAGTATCTCACTATTAATATATATAAGCAAGTAAATATTCGTTATTTTCCCTTGCTTAATAGACAACCCAGTTTTATTGCCTATGCTAAAATGCTTCAATCATTGCATGGATTAATGTTTGTTCAAAATTCATAATTAGCTACATGGGGTAAGCAATGATAGAAGTCTCTTTTGCATTCAATCTTAATTCTGTGTAGAGGAGCATCAGCTTATGGCTATGTCCTTCGAAAGGTTTTTTACCTCTTTCTTTCTTTCATGATATTGGACCCAAATTTTACAAGAGAGGTTTATAATTGACATCGATTCCCAGTCTTTGTATTTTGTGGTGGCTTATTTAATTCAGATTGATGCAAGCCGTGTCTTGCAATTAGAAGCTATCAGTGTGCACACATCTTGCATATATTCCCATTTAGCAGAGTGGTAAATTGAAAGAAACATGATAATGTGAGTGGAACCTCAGGTCTAGGTTGATTAGTATAAATAATCTACACACAACATTCTCAAATTTTTCTGGCAGCATTGGAGGAGCTGCATCAACTGATAAGATTTTCACCTTTTCAGGCTTCTACATGCTATCCTTTTAGCTTTTAATGCTCTGGCGATTCCAACGCTTATGATCGTTACTGGTGGTAGGAAATCCACTTTTGCAAAGAGAGAAAATGTCAGTGCTCTTCTACTAGTTGCAAGCCAGGTGAGATGCTTGACTAGGGTCATTCATACTCTAATTTTTAACATCATAATATGCATCACTTTGACATTCCAAAAGTTTCAGGGTTAAAATTAGATTTCACTCCTGTAAATTAATAAACCATATATAAGAGTAATATTGGTGTAAAAAATAACGAATTGGGATTATGGCATTCATGTTTAAATTTTTTTCCTGTTATTCGTCGATTATATATGTTCTGCTGCGTGTTTTTGTAGAAAACGTTGCCCGTGATGGTCGCTGTAGTTGAGCAGCTTGGTGGTGCTTTTGGTGAATCTGGTTTGTTGGTTCTTCCATGTGTAGCGGCCCATTTGAACCAGGTCAGGTGCAATTTTTCTGGTCTTCTATGGTTCATGTCAAGTTTTTTACTATTTTTTTAACTGACTGAAATTATTTTTCGTGCAGATTATCATGGACTCCTTTTTAGTGAGTTTTTGGAATCAAAAGGAGCGTGCATTTGACAATACCAAGATAGCGTGAAATTTGCTCTAGACGATCCTCATCGATCAATGCCGTTGCTACTCCTTGTCCCGCTAACTTCAGAAAGGAAGAGATTGATTGAGAGTAGGATCTTTTTATCATTATGGGCTAAGGAAAAACAATAAAGATTCATGAACATAAGCGGAGACCTTCACTTGTTCGAGATTTGTATGTTAGCTTGTGTTCACTAAATGATGAGAAGAGTTATGAACCAGAAAAGAAATATCAGAGAATTAGGATTTGCAAACTGAGAATGAGTTATGCTATCTTGTGACTTTTTTTTGGCTTGGAATATTTCTCTGTAACTTGGCCAGATTCGATGAAAACATATCATGACATTTGACTATCGATATTTTTAAAATGAAATGAAACTTGTTTTCTTCTTTCTTAATTATGTTTAGTGTTACTTAAACTTGATGCTAAACATGTTATTATAGTTCAATCGACCGATAAAATCATTCATTTTAAGAACCTTTTTAATCGAGTAATTTAAAATATGAGGTCATGATTTTCATGGTGCAACTTAATTCATTTCTATGTGATTAATTTTACAAATTTAGAGCATGCTTGAAAAGTGATTATAAATATGTGAATAAAAAATGATTTGAGCATTTATAAATTGTTTATGAACATTAGCGAAACATATCTAATCGTCGCGCTATGTTATCCCACAAAAAGTTCCTTGTGATTATCTGAAAAGTTATTCAATTTTCTTGTCTAAGAAATTTTTAGAATGTTGAATAAATGAAAAAAGTATATAAAAACGATGGATACAGTGTCATTTGGTCCTTACGCAATAAACATTGTCAATTTGTCTTCTAACCAAACATGTCACGAAGTCACAACTGCTCCCCCACTTCGATAGACAATAATTACACGTTTTTACCTACCAACCTAACTAACATCGATATTCATAGACTATACAATAATATAATGTTTTTTTAGTTCAATGTGAAATATATTTCTAGCAATAATGCAAAATATATACACTGCCTTTATATTAAAACATCTCTTTAAGCAAGCTTGACGAGATTCTCGACAATATAGAATTTATTATCTACGTTAACCAGAAACATCAAGGTGTTTAGATAGACTAAAAATCCACATTAACTTGCTTAATTTGTCGAGAATGCTTGGTGATAAGTGTGTTTTTCATGCTCATCTCGATTCTTAAATGTGTATATTTTGATTAAATGGGTGGATTTCTATTCATATTTGTGTGTATATTGTGTTTGTAAGTAAAAACTTGAATGGAGGTGAATTGAGAGAAAATGAGATCACTGGGATGTTTATTGAGCAATAAGGGTGAAAATGAAGAGCAACACGAAAACTAGGACTTGAGTGGAAGCTTTGAAAGTGACAATTGGATGAATTCACAAGTTGTGGGGACCAAATTTAATGTTTGGGAAGTTTGAGATCGTCGAAAACTTTGAAGACCAATTTTGAATGAAATAAAAGTTGAAGGACCGAAGATTGATGAATTAAAGTTAAGAGGGACCAAAATTTCACAAAAACCTAGAGCCAAGGGACTAAACCTGTACGGAAAAGCGTAAGGGGACCAAATTGACAAAAGCTGAAAAGTAGAGGGCAGCCACCCCTGGAGAATTTGGGAGCCCATTTGCCACCCTTGTCCGACCCATGCTTAGGGATGACGCTCCGACATCTGACGGGCCTAAACGTTTGATTTCCTAAGTTTAAGGCTCTTTTGAGTATTTGATGTACACGAACTTCCAGACATATTAGCTTCTATATAAGTATGAGTTTTGCTACAGTGACATTCTCAATGTTATGATTAAAAAAAACCATACAAGTGTTGCGCGACACCTGTCACATTTTAAAACTCTATTTGAGTAGCATTATTGATTTAAACTTAAACACCATATCTAAGTAAAAAGAAACCACCGCGCTTTATGCCAAAACATAAGTACTCTTTTGGGAAAGAAAACACAAGGCAAAGCATGGGTTTAAATGCTCTTTAGTGTTTTTCTTCAATTATGATGCATAAATAATTTCTTTGTTAGGGTTAATGATGGAAACTAGTTTGAGCCTCAGTTTAAATGCTTAAGTTTTAATTTTGCAATTGTTTTTTTGTATCGTTTTTACTTCCATTATCAATGCATGGAGTAATTAGCTACTATTTCATTGAATTATGAACGATAACAAAATGAGAGGCGATTTAATTGTTTCGTGACTACGAAGGTAAAAACCGGAAATTGAGTAGAAGATAGATACATACTTTTACTATTTTTACGATTTTTAATTGAATGCATATTAAGAAATAGTTCAGATTTACATAGATATATAACGAATTGACATAATTATGTAAAATTGATTTTACTCAAGAGAAGTTATCAATCAATTTAGAGGAATTCGACTGGGTACACAGAGTCAATTGTTGTTAGAATCTGATCGTTAGAATTAAGGGAATAGCCACGACCAACTCGTGAATGTACTTTTCACATATATTTGAAAACTTAAAATTGTTATAACACATTCATTTTAATTTGTTTTCTTAATCAATAGATTTTTAGGAAAAATCACAACATCAAATTGATTTTTTCTTTCATTTGAGATAAAGGTTAGGCATAATTTTATCGATAATTAGGTAAAATAGTTTTCATATGAACAACATAAGATGTATTCAATTTGAACTTTTAAAAACTTTTTGAAACTTTCTTAAGTGAATGACTTTTTTAGAATTTAATGAACTCTCACGACTTGTTACAGAATGGATTATTCTCCTTGAACAAGGCCACCTTGACCACGTTCAAACTTGGTGCCCCCTATTGGTAGGGGGTCTTTAGCATGACCCTTAGAGAATTATTCAAATCTTTTATAGACATCTAGAAACTTTCATTTAAAGACTTTATGGAATAGTGCTTGTAAGAAGTGCCCACCTTTCGAACTTGACACCATCTAATCTCAAGGAAGATTAACTAGCTCAACTTTCTTACTTTCTGCCATTAAGAAGGCGAGCTTCAAAGAAAAAATCTCGATGCTACTATAATAACAGAATGCATAAGAACCAAAATAAGAGTAGGTCCCTCCATAGCATCAGGTTAACCATATATGAATGGAAAATTGTGCAGATTTAACATTTGCACTAGCTTGAGAATCTTCTGGTCCAGGAGGTCTGTAAAACTCGTTAGGATAAGCAGTATTATTGAATTAGACAAAACAATAAGCAATGATATCATTGATGGATGAATAGATTCATGGGTTTGATATCTTGTATAGATCTCACGGGTGAAGAAATATTCAATAGATCACATAGAGCCGACGAATGAGGTGGATTGATTATCACAGTTTATTGGAATTTCAATGGGAGGACGGGTTGTTTGGGGCTGCCTCATGTACAATTCTCACAGGTAATGTGTAGGTACATCGATGATGATCTAGCTTCTTGTATTTGTAAAGTTTAACTAGCGTGATGAAGTGATATTTACTGTTTAGGACTTGGAGGGAAGTAGGGATGTCAATGAGCCGAATCAAAACTTGAAGCTCGGGTTCGGCTCGAGCCTCATCGAGCCAAGCCGGCTCATGGTTTTTTTTTAAAACACGGGCAGCTGATTTCTTTAATTTTTTTTTTAAAGGCTTGCAGGCAGTTTTTTTTTAAAAAGGCTCAGCTGGTCACGGCCGCCTGAGGTAGTGTGCCAAATTGACATTTGACACCCTTAGAGGGAAGTGGAGAAAACTAACAACTGATTGAGATGGACACACAAAGAATTAGGCCCTGTTTGATTTTTAGCATTTTCCATGGATGTAGGAAACCATTTTCCATTTTCCAACTAAGTGAATGTTTGATAGCACAAAAATTCCATGGAACTCCTTTTCCAGCATGGAATTCACGTGCCCAGTTTTCCTCTTTTTTGATGAAATTGCTTTCCCATGGTTTCGGTGGTTATATGTTTTCCACCTTTTATTTTTTATTTTTGGCAATTAAAACAAATTCGAGACCTAATGGTAAAAAAATTCACTTTAATGGATAATTTTCATAAAAAACAACGTCAAACGGATGCCAAACTTCCAACATTTTTCAGGTGGAAAATTATACCAATCAATACAATTAATTACAATTCTCACTTAAACATTTTCCAAGCAATTCAATTCCTTGTAAAACATTTTCTTTCCACCCAATTTTCACCTTTGCAATCAAACGGATCCTTAGTATAATAAGAAAAATGGCTCTATCGATGTGTTTAGTAAGGTTGACTAGACATTACAGTATAATATCAAGAAAAAAAAACTAAGGGCGTATTCGGTAGAAATTAAAATTGGATTAAAATTGAAAAATTAGTCGTTATTGTTGACTTTTATTAGACGAGTGGGACCCAATAACGGTCATATTTTTAATTTTAATTGGATTTTAATCTGTACCGAACAGCCCTTAATGCTATTTATAATGGCGTGTTCGGTAGAGATTAAAATTGAAAAATCAGTCGTTATTGTTGACTTTTATTAGACGGGTGGGACCCAATAACGGCCATATTTTTAATTTTAATTGGATTTTAAGCTGTACCGAAGAAGCCCTAAAACCTAGTCTATAATATTGTCTAGTATTGTATACTAACATGCCCTTTGGAAAAAAATCAATGCCCCACGACGGTGGATAGCACACCATATTGCTTGATGTGCATTTGGGTTTTTAAGCAATGTGTCCACGTTCGCTGACAAATATGGAAAGTTGCCCTAAAGTTACAGTAGGTTAAGGCTTAGGACATAATAGATACATTCAAAATACATCAAAACTAAGCTTTGCCTATGTGTAGGAATATGCATGTCAGCAAGGATTATTCGAGTCCTTCCATCGTGACATGTTGGTTGGGTTTGGGCAATGGGAATTCGATGTTGGGAAATTATTTAATTTGTCATGATGGGCCGACATATGTAATTAACTGTGTATAAATGCTATCTTAAAGTTAAGCCCAATATTAAAGTGATCTAATAAAGAATTAAGTAATTGGGCTTTAAGCATCTAATTAAAGTGTGG